AAACCCTCGCCTCGGCAGGCTGCCTCAACCTGCAGCTCCCCGTTAGCATAAGGAGCTCAGATTTGCCAGCTTGGCTCAGGCCAGCGGTCCATCTTGTACCATGGCCCCTCCAGGCTAATGCTCACTGCTTCAGAAGAAGGTGATGATAGCTCACAGTGCACCTGCTTAGTGGCAAAGAGCAGGTGGGGGACATCCTCTGGGCAGGTCTGTCCCCTGCAGGCAAGGTGAAACAGAGGTGGTATGAAGCCGAGACCCATAGGAAACTACCAGCCGTGCTATGCACAGATGGCTGTGCTGCTATGCTCTTACAGGTGTAAGAGCACTTACTTTCCAAGTGGTGTAAAACAAGCTGCTCTACAGGCACCCTGCTCCTTGCTGAAGGTGGCCCTTCTGCAAGTTCTACCCCAGGCATATGATCTTGGGATATTAAAGCTTACATAAAACATAAATTTTTCCCTATGTAGAGCAGCCCTTTGCATCTGCATCGACGCTTTGATACGAAAATGCTGGGCCGGGTCACCAGCTGCCTGTGCAGACTGTTGCAGCCTAACCCTGTCCTTGAACAAAACCCCTCTGGCTTCCTCTCCACCCCCGTCTCTGCCTGACCCAGCTGAACTGCCACCAGGGTCCTAGTCTGGTGCTGACAGTGTCCTCATTTCAGCCACCTCTGAATTGTCTTTCTCTCCAAGCAAGTGTCACCTTCCAAATGGCAGTCTTCTGCTTGACCGCTCGCCTGCATCTCTGCAGCTGGTGGGTCCTGCTGAGAGGAGCAGAAAGCCCACCAAAAGGATTGAAAGGGATAATTTAGTGTAGGTTACTTGAACTGAAGTGGTAACCAAAATAAGCAAAGTGCTTACCAAGCAAAGATGCAAGCTGTCCTTGTCTTGAAAAAATAAACATATAATGAGACAAAGCATGGGGGAGCCAAGTGATTAGGGTGGGAGAGGCTCTAGTTTGCAGCTGTTTCGTATATTGAAGGTATTTGGTTCCCATCCCCTTCATCTTCTTTTTTGGATTCATCCCTCAAGCCTCCCTTCCCCACCAACTGCAGCCTTTTTTCTGTGTCCTGTCCTCTCCCAACATCCGGCTTGCTCCCGTGGCGGGTGGGAGCTGCTCACTAATGAGAGAAACAAGAGACGGAGATAAGCAGATGAGGCCTGCCCCAAGCAGAGTGTGCCATTACTCGATAAAGAGGGTCAGGGAGGCCGGAAAGCCCACAGGGCCTTCCCTTTTGCTGGTTTGTTTTACGTGGAAGAACCGAGGAAGAGAAAGTGAGGAAAGAAAGGTGCAATTGATAAGCTTCTTGGTAGACATGACAAAAAACTGATCTTTAGGTGGGAGGCAAAAACAGAGCTTGTGGCCCTACTTTGCACTTCCACTACTGCCTTCCTCTAAAGAGCTCAGCGCATAGCACAGTGAGTAATGCTGCCTTCCCTGGGAGACAGGGGCTCTTCTCTCCACTTGCAGCCAAACTTGCAAGGCCTCACATGAAATCCCAAGCTCTGTTTTGATGCCAGGGTTTGAGACGTGAATGCTTTTGAAAGGCAAGCCCGTTCCATTGCAAATTTCAGGGCACATGCTAAACTTGGAGGGGGTAAAGCATTGGTGATCTTGGTGAGAATGGGGTAAGGGGGAAACAGAGATGCTAGATCTTCTGGCATCTGATTAGCAGCGTGGTCAGCTTTGCTAGATCTGTTGCTGTTGTTTGGAGATAGCCATTAATGTGTTCAATGTTTGAAGAGCCCCACTTTTCAACTTCTCAGACTAGAGCCATATATAGAAAAGTATGCTAGAAACTCTAGATGCTTCCCCATGAAGGATCTTACTGCTAAAATCATTTTGTTCAATCATGCTCTGTCACCAGCCCTTGAAATGAACATTTAGAATTGCCCTTGGCCCTCAGGACAGGACAGCAGCGAGGCCTTCAATACACCTGAATGATGATTTTTCAATTTTTCAATTTTTCTCCCTGTGCAGGACCAGTGGAGAGCAAAAACGAGGCAGCCATGTCTGAACTAGTCCCAGAGCCACGGCAAAAACCAGCTGTGCCAATGAAACCCATGGGCATTAACGCCAACTTGCTGGGCTACATCGGGATTGACACCATCATTGAGCAGATGCGCAAGAAGACCATGAAGACAGGTTTCGACTTCAACATCATGGTTGTAGGTAGGCAGGCATCAGATGAAGTCCTGGGAACCATGGCAGGACACTCTCCCATGAGGCCAGGTGGGAGCATGAACCCCATTGGGAGGTATGAGGGAGCAAGCAGTGCTTGCAGCGGGGGCAAAGGGCAGCTTGCACAAGGCAAGAAGATATCTACAGACCTTTCCCTCGCCAGCCTGGCTCCATCCTCTGGTCCTCTAAATCACCGGGCTGCAGCAGATGTCACGAGCTTCCTCTTTGCAATCCTCAGGTCAGAGTGGGCTGGGGAAGTCGACGCTGGTGAACACCCTCTTCAAATCCCAGGTGAGCCGCAAATCTTCAGGCTGGAACCGTGAGGAGAAGATCCCCAAGACAGTGGAGATCAAAGCCATCGGGCATGGTAAGAGCCAGACTCCTGCACTGTGGTCAATCCTCATTCTCCTCAAGAGCTCTTTAGGCCACAGATTGTGCACAAATCCATTTTCCTGTGATAGGGTGATTTGGTGCAGAGGTTGTCAAAATTTGGAGTAAGAAATTCAAGTACAGCTGTCCAGGTATGCAGTGACCCAGCCTGGCCTGTTCGTGCTTGCTGGGCAGGGGTGAGGGTAGAGCACTCCTGTTCCCTTGCAGGGCAGAGACATGTTTCATGATGGAGTGAGTCCTCAGGGAGGTCTATGATCATTTGTAATTTCTTCCCTAGTCATTGAAGAAGGTGGTGTCAAGATGAAGCTGACAGTGATTGACACCCCAGGATTTGGGGACCAGATCAACAATGAGAACTGGTGAGTTCTACACAGCCAGGGCCTTGTGCCCCAGAAAGGACTGCATTTAATCTGGCAAATGGAGTAACTCCCAGCTACGCAGCCTGGAAAGGGCCTGGGACCTGTATTGCACTCAGGAGTCAGGGGAGGTAATGGGGATGTGAAATTGTGAGCGCCATGGTTTCATGTGTTTGCTTGGAGGTATATGCACACTACACAGCAAGTGTAGGTAAAATGCAGTGATGCTGTCAGACAACTCACTGCCAGGAAGTCGGACAAAAAACTGTAATCTCTTTCCCAGACTGACAGTTCCCCCAAATTCTACATATGTTCCTTTATCTGAAAACTAGCAGATCCAAGTTCTTTTGCCCGAACTGAGCCAACTGCACATTTTTCCTACATTTCTGACAAAGAGCAGCCTTCAGCAGCCCTTGCCATGCTACCAGTGGGTCTTTTCTTTCCCCCTTCCACTCATTGATTTATCCACTGATTTCAACAGTGGTTTTGCAAAAGCCCCTGATCTCAGCTACAGAAATTCTTAAACATCTCTACTGAGGGTGAGACACTAGTGGAGGATATTTTTTATCCCAGAGCCTGCATTACCGCTGTCAGAGCTGGAACACTGTAGGCAGGAACATGAGGAGATTTGTACCTGTCTATTCATCTCTCTCTCCCACCCTAACAGCTGGGAACCTATCGAGAAATACATCAATGAGCAATATGAAAAATTTTTGAAAGAGGAGGTGAATATTGCAAGGAAGAAACGAATTCCAGACACACGAGTGCACTGCTGCCTCTACTTCATCTCCCCCACAGGCCACTCGTACGTATACAATCCCCCTTCCTTCCTTAACTCCACAGTGCCTCTGTGGCAGATATACACTCTGCACTGCTCTGTCTCAGCCATGGACCCAGGGATCCTGCCTGCAGGGCTGGCCACACTTTGGGCACTGTGGGGCTTGAAAGGGTCTAGGATAACAAGGGAGGAGAAGAGATCATGGTGGCAGCAACCAAGGAATGAACAAGGGAGGTTTCATTGGTGCATTGATGCTTGGGAGGGCCACTAGGATGACAGATGGGGAGGGTAAAATGACCTCTTTCATGTTGCTCCCTCCCGGGCTGCAGCCTGCGGCCTTTGGACCTGGAGTTCATGAAACATCTCAGCAAGGTAGTGAACATCATCCCTGTTATTGCCAAGGCTGACACCATGACCTTGGAGGAGAAGACTGAATTCAAACAAAGAGTGAGTATCTCCTCCTTTGCATGGGACCCTTCCCTGCCCTGGCTCAAAGATGGGAGAGATGGGCTGTCTCCTTCCGCCTGGGGTTGCAGCACAGTCCACAGTGCATGCACAGAGTCCAACACTGGGTCTTGCCTCTCTGACCAAGAGACCAGGTGTGGGGTAGCAGTGGCTAAGCGCAGCCTGGACTGCCTTGCCTTTCACACCTTGTGGCTGCTGGCACTGCATGCCCACGCAGTTGTTCCCCCCTTTCCTTTCCTTGGTTGTATCCAAGAGCGGGCTTTGAATGAACATGTGGGCAACGGGTATCTCCAGAAAGAGGTATCTGTTATTGACGCATGTCTGTGCTGATGAATCCCATTTCTGGGTTTCTGGGAAAATGTTGTCTCTTGGCCCAAAGGCACCTTCATAGCCACAAAAAAGTAACAATAAGGACCTGGTAAAGACAGCACAGTGAAAATCAAAAAATGCCCTTGAGTCTTGAGACTGTCCTGAAGATGTAGCTGTTTACAGGCTCTGAGGGCACCTGTTAGAGGGGGAATAAAGATGCGTATCCCTATGACATGACATGAGGTGGTCTGTCATGGGACCTATATTAACCTTCCACAACCCAGAGCCAGATAAGTAACTGGGATTGGGGATAAAGGCTTGTCAGTGCTGCCATGTGTCCTCACTTTGCTGCACACTTCCCTGGAAACAGTCCCTCCAGCCTTTCCCCTCTGGAAGGATATGCCAGGTGCATTTGCCTGGCTGTCCCACCTGCCTTCCTTTCAGTCTTGTGTTGCTTTTTGCTTCAAAATGTTCTCTCCGCTCAGGTGCGCAAAGAGCTAGAAGTAAACGGCATCGAGTTTTACCCCCAGAAAGAATTTGATGAGGACCTGGAGGATAAAACAGAGAACGACAAAATCAGGGTAGGAAACACTGTATCATGGGAGGGGAAGGGAGAATGAGGACTGGTCAAATTTAATGAGTGTGAACAAGACACGGAGACACTAGAAGGTTTTAAGTGCTTTATGGTCCCTAGGTGAAAGATGCAATGAATGTAAGGGATGGTCATTCATCCCTTCCAGTTTAATTTGTCTCTGTCATTATCACAGAGCACTATGAGAGCTGAGTGAGGAAGGACCATGTTTCACCTTCTCTTGCTGAATGCTCTGTTTGGCCTGTGTTAAGGACTAAAGAGGCCTGGCATGTGGCTGATGCCCAGCTTCTGACTGTCCCAGACAACTGTCCCATGAGCCCTTTCATCCACTAATCAAACTCTATCTGAAAAGCAGTTTGGTTTGTTACTATCCCAGCCCCTGTGAAAAGGCTTGTCCCACCCTTCCCTCATCAGAGTTAGAAACCACCTTGTAATTTTCAGCCCACGTCTGTTCATGGCCAGGTTGTACCCAAGATTATGTCTGTGTTCTTGTGCCAACGTTGACTTGAGCAGTTCTCTTGCCTAGTGGTGCCTTGCACCGCTCAGGCATTTGCAGAGAACCACATTAATCCTCTACTGGCTTTCTGGTCAGCTAAATGAGACAAGCTCCCTAGAATGGGCTTCCCATTCCTCAGTACTGCATCCTCCTAGTCACGTTTTTCTGCACTTGCTCCAGTTTGACTTGATTTCCCAGCAGAGTATTCTGGTACCAGTACCCATGCTCTCCTGGAGACATCTGAACTGTAAGCCCTTGGACCACATATGCTTTTTAATCAAACGCATCACATTGGTGATTTGAGATCATCTTGTGACTGACTAGCACATGTGGAGGCCTTCCCCTCCTTCAGTGGTTGCTTGTTTATGAGCTCCCAAGCTGTAGCAGAAATTCTTACTGTTATTTCCTAAATGTGGCCCTTTATGCCTTAAACTTCTGCACATCTTCCTGGAAAATAACCCAGCCTGCCCCTGTACTGACAACGCCTCCTGGCTTTGTTACGTTAGTGCATTTAATTATCCCATTCATCATTTTTGTGGCAAGGCCATTAGTGAAAATAGATAGGCTTCCATGCCGGTCCTCAGGAAACTCCAGGGGGAACTGCCTTGCAGCCTGACACTTGCCCTTTCAACTCCCTTTGTTGTGACACCCCTAGCAGAAATTCTCGTGTTCCCTAGCTTAATTAATCATCTCCCATATGGCAACGCATCACACATTCTTGCAAAGACCAGATGGGTGTGACTTCTTCTCCACACCAGTACTGTTTTACACATTTTGTTCTGCGCTTCAGCCCCATGGCCTTAGGTTTGGTAGTTTCACATGTAAGAATCACTTTTTTTTTTTTTAAATCTCCATTCCTGTGATAATTGAAGTTCCTTCCCAGGCCCAGGGGCATCTATAAAGCAAAGTAAGTCTATGAATATCTGTAAAACTAGGGAGATACTAGGGTCTCCTGCACCCTGCGCTCTGGAAACAGGTGCTTTCTCCCAGTGTTTGGAGATATTAGGTTTCACAATAGCCTCATCTATGGTCAGAGGAGCACACCATCCCATCACTGGCCTTCCTGAGTGCAACCATTTCAGATATTAGATTTTGAATGTTCATGTATCCTGTTGGGGAGGATTATTTTGAGTCCTCTCCTTCTTCTGGTTAGGGACTACAAACTGCTTGGTGAGAAATACTCACTGCAAACTATCTGTATGAGCAGCCTTTAGCCAATAGACCTTCTCCTGGTTACACCAAGGAACCTCCTTCTGATCGCATCCCTCCTTTAGAAATGCTGGGGATGTGTGAGGAAAAGTTCTGCCCCTTTCTCCAGAACCCTTGGCGCTGCTGTAAACTGCACACTGAGCTCTGGAGGTGCAAGGACACTTGTAAAGTAAGGTCCAAAATGCCAAGGATAGCGCTGATGCGTGAAGAGGACAGACAGTAAAGCGTTGCTCTGGAGAACCTGTCACTTTGCAGAAGGCCTTGTGCTTGGTGAGCTGAGAGGAGGAAAGGTGAACAGGGAACAGTGACATTGCTGCTCACTGGAATGTGTTCAATAGGTTTCTCCACCTGTCTCTCCCTAGCAGGAAAGCATGCCATTCGCAGTAGTGGGCAGTGACAAGGAGTACCAAGTGAACGGCAAAAGAGTCCTGGGCAGAAAAACACCTTGGGGAATCATTGAAGGTAAAGACAGCCTTGCTTATGGGAGACTAAAGTATCTCTGCAGACCAGGATCCAAATACATTTCCCATGGCTTCCTTCCTGTGCCTTTTGTGAAAAACTTTTTAAAACCAAGCAAAAGAAGAAATTTCAAATAGCTCTGTTTGTAAAGAACTGCATGGTCACTGCAGTACTGCTAACTGGCAGAAGCTGGAACCACACTGAACACCACTGAGGGGAAGCTGATCTCCTGAGGCTTCCTTGGTTTTCACATGAAAATTCACATATGACTGCTCAATGTCTGACAGCATAGCCACTCAATGCTTGACAGTGTCTGGTGTCCACACAACAACTGTCTGTCCTTTCTGAATTATGCAATCTCTGCCCACCTTGAACATGCCCCACAGCAATGACCTTCCCATGCTCTGTAACCACAAAGGGATTATTACGAAAATAAAACATAACAACTGCTTTCTTTCTTTTCAGTGGAAAACCTCACTCACTGTGAATTTGCCCTACTTCGAGACTTTGTCATCAGGTAAGGCTATGGTCATGTGCCAGTTTGTTCTTGATGAGAAGGATGTCTTCCTGAGACTGCCCCCCTTAGAGTGAAAGAGCCCCCATGGGAGGGAAGAAAAAGCACATTCCAGGCAGTGAAAGCTTGTGTGGACACTCCAAGGGATGGTTTGGGCCAAACTAGGGGGGAGGATGCTCTAGTGGCTCTCTTAGTGATGTGGCCTACATCACTAAGATCTAGTGCTAGTTTTCATGTATGATGCAGATGCTTTGAGGAAGCAGGGTGCTAGCACCCTCGTGCCATCCCATTAAGCATACTAGGTGGCAACAACTTCTAGTGGTTGCCGACATAGGACTGGGCTGGAATCAGTGAGAAAGAGGCCCCTCCCCAGCCTAGACTGTGTGTCCTACCAGGCTTGAAGGATGGCCCGGAACATATGATCTGGAAGTGAAAGGCTTCTTACTTCATTCAGCTTTCATTGTCCTGTCTTATTCATTCTCTATTTCATGAAGCTATCCCAGCACAAATGATATCTGCCCTGAATTCTGTGGAAGAGCTGCAAAGAACCAGGGTCACCTCTGTTCCCTGTAAACACAATAAGGTTTTAAAATAGGACCAAAACTAAAAAATTAGGGGAAATGCACTTCAAAGCCAGAGCCCTGTGACTCATAACAGCTGTGGGTATGGTGGTAGTAAGACACTTAGCCAGGTACAAAGCTCTGACATCACCCTACTACCCTCTTTTTGTGCTCAGGACAAGTTCTTAACAGTGGTACCTACCACAGCTGTTGTGTTTTTCCCCAAGTCTTCTAGTAAAAACATCTTAACCAAGTGATAGTTACAAAACAAAAAACAACCCAAGCCCACAGGCTTTGTACGGGGGTTAGAGACTACTGCTCATGGCAGCGTTCTGCAGGTTATGGTTCCCAGCTGACCTAATACACACTTTTGGTGCTTCGTCATCTCAACACTGCTGGAAGCACGATGTGAGAAGAGATGAGTCACTGTCTGCTCTCACACATCACAATGGCCAGTAGCTGTCTCCACTGGCACTGCTTGGAGAGGGGCATGACACTATCAAGCAGAACCAGGCATTTCAGCCAATATCCTACATCCTGTGTATGTATTCTCTTGAATGACAATGCTCCAGCTATCAGTTGTGTTATGCCATTTGTACAAAAAGAGCAGTGTGTTCATTAGCCAGACTGGCTGGAGGTATCTTCCATTTATCTTGTGGATTAAAATGATCCTAAGAAGACTAACACTGACAGCGCTGATGTTGGTTGTTGTATCCTCTTTGCCACCCCATCTCCACTTTTTCTCCTGCAGGACTCACCTTCAAGACTTAAAAGAAGTGACCCACAACATCCACTATGAGACCTACAGGGCCAAGCGGCTGAACGACAATGGAGGGCTGCCTCCCATGACCGTCGAGACAGAGGAAAACCACGAAAGTAACCTGTGAATGACCCCTCCCTGCTGTCACCTGGTGTCTCTGGATATGACAACCCATCCCCGTTACCCTTGACTCTACCATGGGCTTGTCTTTGAAGTATTTGGCGCATCCTCTGTGCGTGTGAGAGTATGTGCGCATGCGTGTGTGTTTGTGTGTGCCTGTGTGCCAGGAATGGACCAAAAGCGTCTCCTCTGTCCTTCCCAGTATGTCCTCATTCTTGGTTTGTTTTTTGCACGGTGGACTGTCTGTCATCTTCCTTTTTCTCATGTTCTGTAGCTCAGATGTGTGTCTTGCTTGGAGGAAATAGGGTTGGGGCATTGATTTCTGGGGGCAGGAGGGCTCTGGAGGTGGGAGGTATGGGGTGGGCTGTAGTCCTGTGTTTATCCCTTGAAGACATAGCAAGGAGAGACTCAGAGGATAGATGGTGCATTCAGTGCACACACTGTCTTCCAGTGATGGCAGCAGAGCTTTCTGCTGGGTCCTTGGTGGGTGAAAGGCAGTGGTTGGTCTGAGGGATGGGGCGGGGGCAGTATTTTATCCCCATTTCTTGCTATGGCTTCCCAAGGGAAAACAGAAACGTGGACGTGGATAGATGGAGGAAGTGACATAGTGACATGTTTTGAGGTCCAGGCAGTGACTGATGGGAGGAGACACAGAATTAGTTCTTGGGCCTTAGCATCCATTTGAGAAGTATCAAAGTACTTGGGGGAAATAGCCATATTTGCCAAAAAAAAAAAAAAAGCAAAACCAAGAGGAACAGAATGTGTTTCTGCAGCAGAGGATGCATTTTCTCTGCCTTGTGCTAAGATCAAAAGCCATCGTTGAAGGTCACAGGCTTTTGATCCTATGCAGCCTCCAGCTCCGACCAAGCTGGGCTGAGGCTACCCTACCTCATGCCCTGCTGCAGCAGTCTCTTTGGCCTCTCTCCACGAGCACCAAGCTGGTCCTGGTCATACCTTTCCCCTGCAGCATGGTCCCACTGTTGAAGGGTGCAGGAAAACTGTGTCAGGTGGGGCTGGCTGGGGAATCCCTGGGGACAGCCCCGCCCAGCACATGGCCTTCAGGCTCTCAGAGGAATCTAAGAGAGCCACCAAGGGCCACGCACTGGGCCAGGGTGTCTCCATTGGTCTCCACTGGTGGCGGGAACACAAGAAAAGCCTTCTCTTCACTAAAATGTCTGTTTGCTACTCCAGCCGTCTTAGTCTGTGCTGCCTCCCTGCCCCTCCTATTGCCCTCCCAGCTTCTAAGTCCCTCCTCTCTCTTATTTTTCTCCTCATTTGCTTTCACCCCTCCATATCTTCCTTCTTCCCTTTCTTTCTCTTCCTCATTTTCTCTGTTCTTTACCCTTTCTGTCTCTCCTTCATTTTCTCCAAGTGCTTTAGTGTTCCTCTTCTCCAGGGTCTTTCTTCCCTCTCCCTCTCCAACTCTTCACCAGCTCTCACACATGCTCCGTATGCACGTGATTTTGTTGTGCCATGTTTAGAAGCTGCTATTTTACCTCCCCTTGGAGGGGACTGGGAGTGAAGGTAGAGACCCAGGAGCAGCCTGTGGAACAGCAGCTTTACTATATAGTCATGTTTAGCCAGTGGCCCCAGGTCAGGGTTGGAATGCATTTTCACATTGTAAAAGACATTGCTTTTAGGAAAGACAAACATACCTGGCCTATCCTGTTCCCTGATCCCTCTGGCCAGTGTGGAGCAGGCCTGAGTATTCAGCCTCTAGCTGGGACCAAGGAAGGTAGCAGCACATGCCCTCTCAGGCAGACAGCAAGGGCTCCACTGTGTCGGGGTGCTGTGGGGCAAAAACCATGTACCACGAGGATGGAGAGACAACACTGAATTCAGTTATGTAGAAATGCACTTCCCCCTTTTGTCCCCGGGTTCCTGTACACTGGGGCTCCCCATCCTCTCTTGGGCTCAGTTGCAGCCTTGCCCCTTCCCACCACCACACGTATTTGTGACACTGTTGTGGCAGAGAGCTGCAGCAGCTGCTGTATCATCCCCTCTCACCCATCAGCAGGGAGATGGCCTCACGTCTGTTTTTAAGGAGCTGACTTCCCTCTTCATACCGAGGCCAAATCATAAGTCAGTACTGTCTTAATCTGAAGCATCTTAATCCAGAGGCATCTTCATATTTGATCTCTGGCAAAACAGCACTGTCAGCTCTTTTCTGTATGTAGCTGAGCCAGGCAGAAAGCATCAGGGCTGACTGCGCAGAAGGGAGGAGGTGAGGATGGGACTTCACTCCTCCTGACGGATATCTCGACTGCTGTGAGTTCGACAGCCCCTGCCTGTCACCTAGCGGATGCATGTCACACAGTTGGCAGGGGCTCTCACTTCCAGAGGAGCGCTAGGTTGTATTTGAAATGCACATGGAGAATGCCATGGTGTGGGACTGTAGCACGACGAGTAACAGGAAGTGCAGTGGGTTAGGGACAGGCAGATGGAAAGGCTGACGCAGGAGGGAGGAGGAGATCCCAGCGAGGGAATAGCTGGGGATGATTCAAGCTAAGTCTGAGGTCTGCTGACAGAGCTGTATGTGGGCCAGCCCTGGGAAGGCAGAGGGTGCTTCGGACACACCAAGCCTTAGCAGAACCATGTGAGAGAGTATGTCCATGCTGTGGCTTTCTCTGGTGTTGTCATTGCAAAGCAAAGGTCTCTTCAGTCTCACTCCTATCTGTTCATACAAATCAGCCATTCTCAATATCACGAGGACATGAGGGCCCTCCTGGTCTCTCCTGGTCCTTTCACCACCATGTTCATGGCTCCTGGCATTCCCGTTTTGAGTGTGCACATACCCTGTTACACCCTCCTTCCCATGTGCACCAGGCCTCCTTGGCCCAACAGAGAATAAAAGCCTCTTCACTGGTGCAAGTAGCTGTATCGTGGACTTCACGGACAGGGAAAACGACCTTCTAGTTGCTACTTGCCCTCCCATCCATCCTGGCCATTCACAGCCCGACGCAGGGTAAAAGCCTCCACATGGCTCATCTCCTCCAGCCGGCCGGACCAGCTTCCCCAGCGTGGATGTGACTCTAGCATCACTGGCTGCCATAAACATCATCCCAGTGTACTCTGCTGTGGCTGCTCCTGCCCATTCTGTACGTAATGTTTTAAACCCAGCACAACAGGAGAGACGTCCCCAGTGCTCCTGTTCTTTTCTGCACTGAAGCCTGAAGCTGTGCTTCATCATATTTAGTGGGTGCTTGCTTTCTCACATATCTCTCTGTGATGGCCGTGCTGCTGCTATAAAGAAACTTTCATGCCTTTGGGCTTTGTCACCCCAGGCTGGGACACGCACTGTCCACGCCAAGTGCTGCAGGGTGCCTTTCTGTCTGTGGTATGGTCACTTCTGTGACTTTTGGGCCCAAAAACTGGCAGAGGGCCAACACTGCCCTGCTTAGTGAAAGCAAAGTGGCCCTCACGCAGAAAAAGAGGGAGGTTTTCCATTGCTTATAACTTGTTTCAGACTCTGCTCTGCAATTCCCTGTCAGATCATGGACTACTCCTAAAGGACCCATAAAAGCTCACCGAGCAAAGCAAGCTCAGGTATGCCACCCTGCCATCCAGTCATGCAAATATCCTAATGGCATCTGCATATCTAGCAGAAAGCCTTTCCATGTCCACAGGTGAGAGAAATCTCCTGCTGCCCATGTTGTGTGACAGCAGGAGATAGAGGAGTCTGCTGGGAAAAAGGTCTCTGCCGATGGAAAAGGAAGGAAAAGCTTCAGTGGATCCTAGCTCTCTTGTGCCACCAGCTGACTCCCAGGATGACCACAGCAAGTCAGATGAACCCCTTAGAGTCACCACTTTAACAGTATGCAACAGAGAGAGAGAGAGTTTGAATTTTGCCCAGGAGGTATGCAGCCTTTTGGCATTCAAAGACTCATGAACTCCTTACCGTGTCGGTTATTCCCAAAGGAAGTTTGCAATGGATGGTCGATCCCAAGGGCCTTTTTTTATACTGGACAAAATACCATTTGGGCTAGCTGAAGTGTTAACTAACATTATGGCAGACATAGTTTTGCCCTTAAAGAGAGCAAGAAGGGCTATGTTTAGGCACTAGTATTTGTGGTTAATTGTAAGGGCGAATTAATTATGACCAGCTTATGTTTTTAAACAGACATCTCGGAGGGAAAGGCTGTGTAAAACATGTACCTTTGTAAGGGGGATGTGTACTCCCCCCAGCCTCAGCAAAAGTCTCTGAAAAGGGGAAGCAAAACGGCGGGCTGGAGGGTTCATTGGGTATCACACGGAGAAAAGAGTGCTTTAGTAAGACGTGAACAGGAGGTTTGGGAGTATTTACACAAAAAGTACGGCCAACCCTGCCCGGCAGCGTCGAATCCAACTGGGGAAATACCAGAGCCGGCTGGAAACATCCGATGCCATTCTCGAATTACGTTCTTCCCTAGAAGAAATGTAATACAAGAGGAATCATCCCGAATAAGACACCACGTAGTCTTCTGTAACTACCGTAACTCGCGCGTCCGACCTGAAGGACGACGGGGGGCTGCGGCTTTCCGGGCGAAAGCTATCCGCGTGGGGGTGCCGGACGGG